GAAAATAGCTCCGAAAAACAGGTAATACCTGCTATAAAAACGGAGCGTTTACCACCAACGAACGATTCCTCAACTATTTTCCCTTTCGAAGCTAGAAATCACGATCAATCGGTAAATAAAAATATTGAAATTGATTTATCTTAAGGGCTGGTATTTCAACATTATTAAAGATGGATTTATATCAAATAATTCTGATTAGAATTCACAACTTTTGTCACCATTCAAGCATTCATTGCTGAGACGAATGAACATATGAATAGGACCGCAGCGCCAGTTCCTGTGATATTGTTTTTGTCGTGATCATACATTTAATAATCTCGCAAAGTAATCATTGCTTTTAGTCAGATTATTAATATAGGGTTAGTTATTGACTCAATGTCAGTCAGCTCTTTGGACTAAATTCACTAGCAGAGCAAAATCGATTCATTTCAGCTCTATTATTCGACATTCGTTGTCGTTCAAAAAGCTATATAGCACCTACATTATTTTAAGTTCAGAACAAAAGCTCAGCGCATTCAAATCATGAGTGATGATATTGGAAAAACGTTTTTGTACCAATATACCTTTATAAGATTTGCCAGTCGTACGCTTAGCTTCAATTCCAGTTTTTTGATCACCCACATCTTCATGTATTGCTGTATTCATTTTTTCTTCGAATTCTCTCTCTATAATGCCTGAAAATTTCTTATCCATTTCATTGCGATTCAATAATAGATTCTATAACACGTTATATAAACAGATGCAAAAAACGCAATAGATCGAGCTTTCAAATCACTTTTTTTTTACTTCCTGCTTCTTTTATAGCAACTACATTCGATTAACTTCTTCGTGACTGTTTCACTTCCGATAGGTGGATGCCACCGTGGTAACTCTTATAAACATGGCTAATTAATCTAGCGTGTTCATTAGGCAGATAAGAATTCATTCTTTCAGTGTATTCTTTTTTGGCTGTTGGTATCTTTGAGTGTTCAAAACGTGACTATTAATGAGCTGTATTGATTTAAGAGCATATTCAAGAAAACTGAATTGAAAAACGTTACTTTCGTTTCTGTTACTTTCCTCCATGGGTACAAGTGCGTTTGCTCGCATTGTTTTACATCTATCGAAATCATCCGCAGGTGCAACAGGACCTGCTTTCATTGTTTTACATCTATCGAAATCATTCACCTCATCCGCTTTGTCTGTCGTCGGTGCTGCCCTCATCGTCTTTGCAGCTTTTAGTTCTTCTACAAGCGGTATTTAATTTGGTCACTTACACCCACCAGCTATTTCTGCGATTACTGTTTATAATTTGAAGAAATTTGTTCGTTGAAGTGCGAGTTGCATCGCCCATGTTCGACCATTAGTTTACCGTTAGTGCTGAATTTCAAAAGCATAAAGCAGGCGGTGACTAGGCTCAACGTTCGTTTGAAATTTCCTTTTCATCAAACCAAAAATGAGGTATTTTATGGATTTCGTTCTCCCTCTTTCCAGCTAATTTTTATTGGCTCGTTTCACAATTAAGATTGTCAGCTTTCAACATTGATTCAAGAGCTCAAGCTAGGATATCACACTGTTTGCCGCCGGTCAAGCCCGGATGCGGAAATTAATTCTAAATGATGATGATCTTCAAGCGACTCCCATTCAGTGTCAATAAAACTATACCCAATTCATCTTCTTCTTTCGCCGGTTCAGCAACCGGATTTAGCTTCATTGTCTTTACTTTATTGATATCTTCACCTTAACAAAAACTTCATGACAAATTTTCAAAATGAACACCTCAAATACAATCTAAGTTACATCGATGCATGCGTGTCATTTTTTGAATGATGAAGGTGATTTATCTCATGACGGTAAACCGTGGTAGGTTATTTGCTGAAGCCTCGAAACTGAAACATCCTAAAGTCCCTGATTTATATTCACTGCTAACTATCTTTGTACCGCAAACAACTCGTTGAAATCTCATCAGCATAATCCGACATGCTTTCAGGCAATAATTAGCAGCAATTTGAGGCGATATGAAACAACTGTAAATCATCCATACCAGCAGAGGCAACTTTCGATTTCTGAAATTTCAAGAAAATTGAGTGAAAATAAAGCTGATGAGTTGCGTTTAATTCATAATCGTACTTCCGTTAAGATTCTAATCGCACATTAGGGGAGAATTTTATGATCAGTGATGGAATCGTCCTTCGCACGAACAATCAAATAATGGTACTCTCATGAACTGTGAAAGAACAGGAGAAGAGAGCAATAAGCGTTTGAATGCAGAAAATTATAATTCAAATCACATACTCGTGAGCTCCTCTCTTTTCGATGAGTATTTATTGCTGAACAAGTATGAAAATTGGTTAGATGTTTGAAAAGAAAGTTTTAAAGTCGTTCACACAATATTCTTGATAAATTTCGGATTAGTATAAATGAAATGCTGTCGTATTAATAAAATGCTAATACTGGAACCCAGAATTCTTGACACAAGCAAAATCTTGCAATTAACTGATCAGTTCATGGGAAGTCGTTTAGAAATCAACAAGGATTATGAATCAAATAAGAAGTACTTCAAAAATACCAAATTCATTTGATACCTTTCATAGTCTCAGCTGAAAACAAAAGTGCTTGATAAAATTACAAATTGAATAGAATAGAACGCTATGCTGTAGTAAATGAGCCATTTTTGTTCCCATTTAGTAAAATTTTTGATTAATTAATCTTTTCTTTCCGAAATTTTGTTCTCCTAACACAAAAGAACAGATATGAAGAATATTCGAATTCAATGCATCCGAACACGTGATTTATTTTGGTCTCATCCAGTTTTTGGTAACCAATAGATTTAGTGAATGAAGTTCTCTTATCAGTGATAAACAAAAACACGATAGCAGAATAAGTGCATTACTCACGCATAATGTTATCATATTCTGCTTGAATCTCACGCTCAATTCTTTCATCTTCTTCCTTGTTCTA